GTGTGTGTGTGTGTGTGAGTGTGTGAGTGTGTGTGTGAGTGTGTGTGAGTGTGTGTGTGTGTGTGTGTGTGTGTGTGTGTGCTTGCTTGCTGCTCTTTCCTCCCTCCCTCCTCCTTTATTTTTCAAGTTCAGAGTACTCCAAATATTTAAGCCTTTTAAAGTGGTCCCGGGCAGAGAGTCAAAGGCTGTTCTATTGGTGAATGTGGTTATAATTAGATAATTAATGGGGGGGAGTTAAATGGAAGCCTTCCTCAGTGGGAGGAAATAATTACAACAGCTTTTGATATCTGAGCTGAGCCAGCCCACCAGGGGAAGCACAGGATAGTCCATGAAAAGCACAGAATGGCAGGGCCTGTCCCAATAGGGTAGGTTTTGGGGTTGGCTTCATCTGCCGGAGGGTCCTGGGGCTCAGGCAGAAGCAAGTGGCAGGTTCATTAGTCTTCTTGACTGAGAGCCTCCCAGCCTAACCCGCTTGATGTCACCTTGACCCCCACATGTCTGTAGACATGGGCAAATGTAAAACATCTGGGCTCAAGATGGCCTCGCCACTGAAGGGCTACCCGAGCCCCATGCGTGAGCCTCCTGTGGCTCACTCTGGTTCTACCTGGCCCCAAGCAGGCTACATAGCTGCTGCAGCTGGGCTAAGAGCAGTGCTCAGTGGCCCCTGAAGCAAACCGCTGGGTGCTAAGAAACACATAAGGGCCTCGTGCTAGCCAAGGGAAGGCATGGCACACTGGCTGTGAAGTCTCTGTCTACTACCTGTCTGTCCTTCCATCTGCCCTTCCTCCCTCCCTCTCTCTCTCCCCTCCCCCCTCCCATCCGTGTGCACATTCGTCCACCTCCCAGCATGTACTGAGCTTCTGGCATGTGCAAAGAATGGTGCTGGCTGCTGAGATGGCTGAGATGAATCAGAGTCTGACGGCAAAAGAAACACATATATAAACTAGACACTGAAAACTGTCTCAAGGGCAGTGCAGGCCAGATGCTGCTGCTGCAGAGGAGACTTAGCTGGACTGTCAGAAAGAGCACACAGAGTGCACGTGCACACACACATGCGTACACAAGGAGACATATGCACGAACACACATGCATACACACAGACATGCATGCACACACAGACATGCATGCACGCATATGCATAAGCACAAGCATACACACATGCATGTACACACAAATGCACACACACATGCACACATGCATAAACAGACATGCATGCATGAACACACATGCATCCACACAGACATGCATGCACACACAGACATGCATGCACGCATATGCATAAGCACAAGCATACACACATGCATGTACACACAAATGCACACACACATGCACACATGCATAAACAGACATGCATGCATGAACACACATGCATCCACACAGACATGCATGCACACACAGACATGCATGCACACACAGACATGCATGCACGCATATGCATAAGCACAAGCATACACACATGCATGTACACACAAATGCACACACACATGCACACATGCATAAACACACATGCATGCACACTGACACACATGCATGCACACATACACATATACACATGCATGCATACACACACATGCACACAACACATCTGGGTTTCTCATGTGGTGCCCCAAGAGGTGGAAGAGGAAGTGGCCACAGAACCATGGCTGTGGCCATCATCTACAGCACAAAGAAGGCCAGAGTTAAGGTATTAACTGACGCCTTTGCCCCTAGAATGAGAAAAGGATGAACTTTTGGCTCCACTGGACCTAAAGGCATTTCAGTTTGCTCAAATGGGTCAGCCCCTGCCAATCTGCTCCTACTGTCCCGCTTTCCATCTCCTATGCTAACATTCTGCTATCTCTAAAGCCAAGACCCTCTCAACTCCTGATTCCAGTCCCGGAAGAGGCTGGGGAAGTGGCAGGCTGGGTAGGACGTCAGCTAGACTAGAAGCTGGGGGTGGCATCAGCCCACATGGATCCCGTTGCTCATCCCACTTGGGGAGCATTTGGGCTGCAGGAGAGCCCTGTCTACCAGTTGGGGCCCTTCCCATCCTGGATGAGTCTGGACACAGCTTCTGGAGCTGGCCACACCAACCACCAATGGGAGGCTGGAAAGAGGGAGCAAATAGCATCATCAGTCAGGAGCCCCTAAACTCCAAGCAAACAGCTAGCAGAGAAGACACATCACACACATGGGGTCATGAGCAGACTTCCATGTGGGGCACCCACTAAGAGGCCCCAGTGAAGGATGTGATCTGCTTTGAATGAGAAAGAGCAGGTTGGAAACTATCAAAACAGACTCTCAGGAGCCCCAGAAAGCGTAGGGATGGCGTGGCTTTAATCAAGGAGGGAGCAAATGGGAAAGTAGATGCTGAGGAGCAAGTCCTGAGGGCAGACACCGCTGGGGCCTCCCTGTCCTGGAGGTGGGTGCCAGTCACTAAGGAGAGATCAGGGAGATCCCCTCAGCCAATAAAAAGCAAAGCCTTTGGATTAAAGGGAGACTTGGGTCTGGCCATGCCACAAATAAGGTTCTGTATTGGAGACTAAGAAAAACCTATGGGAATTCAGACACAAAAAGGAACAAGACCTGTCAGACTCACAGTGGCTTCC